AGTTCCTGCTACAATTCTTATCCTACAACTCAATCTTGTATCACAAAGAAAAGGGGAACCTAAAGAATGAGGAAAGAATGAAAGCCTAAATACAGGTTCTTTGATTAGCATAAGGTCAATGGGGACAGCCAAGACAGTAGGAATAATAGAAGGCCCTTTTGCAAGATGTTGTTATTGACATTAACCTCCAAGCTCACATTGAGTAAAAGGCCAACCTCACAGTAGCAAACAATGCCTGGATGGATTAGAATTCTTCTGCAGGGTGGTCCAGTGTCCATGCAAAAGAAGGTGGAGCTGCGTTCAGGTGGTTGTAGAGAAATCCGCCGCGGGCCCCGCCAAACAACCAGAAGTTCCTTGTGGCCCTGCCTGCAATGGAACAATACTCTTCACACCTTTGTGTTCATGGGTGCCTTAGGACCCTGCACCCACATGGGAGACCTGGAACAATCTCCGAGCTCCTGACTTTGGATAGGCTCAGCTCCGGCTATTGTAGGTGCTTGGGGAGTGAATCATTGGATGGAAGAACTTCCTGTCTGTATATCTGACTTACCAATACAAAATTTTTTTAAATTAGAAGAAGAATCTATAGAAAGCATATATTCTAAGACTGCAGATGCTTAGATAGTCCTCCTGGAAGAGTAGAAAGAAATTGGAAAGAGAGACAGAAAAACACATGGCTCAAAAGTTATCCTGACACGCTTAATGGCAGATAAAGAAAGTTATGCATATGGAAAAAGAATGACCTGATTTTCACAGACTTAGTAAGTTCTAGTGATGAAGACTAATCTAGAAAAACATTAGAATTTTCTTGTATAGTATTTGCAAAGCCGTCCTTGTCATGGATCTTTCTTATGCCATTCACTTATTTATTTTTATTTGAAAGGCAAACTTAGCAGAGAGCAGTAACAGAGTGAGAGAGGTATCTTTCATATGCTGGTTCTCTTCCCCAAATGGCCAACATGCTGGACCTGAGGCAATCCAAAGTTAGGAGCCAAGAGCTTCTTCCAGGTTTCCCACATGGGTGCAGAGGCCCAAGGACTTTAGGCATTCTCTGCTTCTGTCTCAGTCCACAATCAGGAAACTGAATCAGAAGTGGAACAGCCAACACTAGAACCAGTTCCCGGATAGGATGCTGGCAATTGCAGTTAGAAGAAGATCCTGTAAGCTCACTGTGGCAATCCCATCTTTTTCTTTTTCTTTTTTTTTTTTTTTTTTTAAGATTTTACTTATTTGAAGGGCAGAGAAGGAGAATCTATCCATTGGTTTATTCCTCCCACCACCCCCAAAATACTGCAACAGCTTGAAACCAGAAATCTTAGCATCATCATCTGGATCTTCTAAATGTAGGCAGAGACCCAAGGATTTGGTCCATTTTTTGCTGCTATCCCAGCTGCCTTAGCAGAAAACTGGATCTAAAGTGAGGTAACCAGGACTGGAACTAAGGCTCCAACACTAGGATGCTTGTGGTGCAAATGGTGTCCAAGCGCACTCTACCACAGGGCTGGCCCCTTACCTTTTTAAATTGCTTTTGGACTTTCTCTCTTTCTCAGAGAAAGTAGATAATTTATAGTTGAAGATACTAGGTTAGGGTTTGCCTCTCCTGCCCCCTTACTATTGCTTACAGTCTTAAGTCACATTTTCTATGTGTACCTAAGTTTTCTCTTTTGTAAAAATGGAGCTCATGTCTCCTTTCTACATGCTGTCACAAAGCTCTTGTTAGACCTACTGGGAAAATATTAATGCTTGCTCAACCATGTAAGAGTGTGTAGACTCAGACTTCACTGACAAATCAGAGACAGGTTAGGGCAATGAAGAATACAAATTTTAGAGCTAGATATACCTGTGTTTCATTCCACATTTTCCTATTCCCAGTCTAATCTTAGTTTCTATATATGTAAAATATTTAAACATCCTTTTTTATATTTTTAAGGAGGAAATAAGGTAACTTCATAAATCTGAAATAAACAGACACATTTTACTCCCACTTCTTTTCAAACAAACTAGAAACTCAGAATTAAAATGGTTTGGCAACTCAGTGAAATGACCAGAGTTAATCCTTCACATTAAATATGTTTGATTTTAAATGTAAGGGCTACTAGTTCAAAAAAAGTTTTATGTATTTGGAATATAAGATGTGCATTTGAAGTATATGTACAGGTGAGAACAGTAGAGGTATTACTTTAAAACATTCAGATTTGTTTGTCCTTGTGTCTTAAAGAAATCATATTGTCAGTTCATACAAATTAAAAAATGCAGTCCTGGGCCCGGTGCCGTGGCCTAGTGGCTAAAGTCCTTGCCTTGAACGCACCAGAATTCTGTATGAATACCAGTTCTAATCCTGGCAGCCCTGCTTCCCATCCACCTCCCTGCTTGTAGCCTGGGATCCACAGTCGAGGATGGCCCAATGCTTTGGGACCTGGAGGAGGTTCCTGGCTCCTTGCTTCAGATCGGTACAGCACCGATTGTTGTAGGCACTTGGAGAGTGAATCAGCTGATGGAAGCTATTTCTCTCTGTCTCTCCTTTCTCTCTCTCTCTCTCTCTCTCTCTCTCTCTCTATATATATATATATATATATATATATGACTTTGCAATAAAAGTAAATGAAAATCTTTAAAAAATACAATCCTCTTTGATGTTAGTGATCCTGACAGGAAAGTCTAATTATCTCCATTTTCAGTTGTAAGGCTGGATGACTTAAAAGGTCTGCAAAACCAGTTTTGTATTTGATGAGCAACATATATTAGAATTTTACAAATGGAGTTGATGGCACCAATTTTCTACTAACTCCAGAATGTGGGGTGGCATTCACTTGCAGTGTCCAATCCCGTTTTTCTGACACTTTCTTGCTTTCTGTGTTCTACTTGTGATAATTGATTGTTACCTGCTCGACTTTGTAAATGTCCTTGATTGCCAGTGTATCTATAAGGGCATGATCATGATATATTAAACATAATCATGTAAAGTATAATCATCTCACATTTTTCAAAATATTTTAATGACAAGGGTTTTTCTTTTTAAATATTGATTGAAGCTTTCTTGGCTCACGGTTAGATAATCATATGCAAGCTGTTTTATTTGATATGTCGTAGTTTAAATCTAGGTTATAACAAATGTTGGCCCCATTACAAGAAAATAAGCTTTTTTGCTGGGATACTTTTTAAATATACTGAATTCTTGAAATTTTGAAAGTGAGGTAAATAACAGTAGAAAATTTACCTGTTTATTTAAGTATACAATATTGATGTAGACTGAGGAAGAAATTATTGTGTCCTGAGATTTAATTATGTATCCCTAAAAACATAAAGTTATTGTTGCCTTTTGTGATGGCAATGATAGAAGTACAAAGTGAATTTCCAGTTACATAGTTATGTTAAAGAGAAACACTGGATGACTGATATTGTGTGCAGGTTAAGCCGACTCCTGCACTGCCAGCGTTGAGTGCTGCTTCAAGTGCTGGCTGCTGTTTTGTTCACATCCTTGCTAATGCACCTGGAAAAGGGCCAGATGATGGCCTATCTCTGTAGGCCCCTGTATCCAAATGGAGTCCCGGGCACCTCTTAGTGACCAGGCCCAGCCTCAGCCATTGCAACTACCTGGTACTCAAGAGCTCTTGCTCCCACACACTCTGACACTCCCTGTTAAATAAATGTTATCAAAAATGTAGAAATCCTTGTACTTTATTTACATTGTCTGTTACACCATTATCCTGCCCACTCTATTATGTATTTCTCATAATCCAGGAATGATTTCTTGCTCAACTGTGATCTGGCTATTCTTATTAAAGCCAAATAAAAGAACCAAGAAGTAGAAACAAATTCAGTTTATTGTTTTGTGTATCTAGAATGATCTGACTTTGAAAACACACCTTCATGTACCTCATGTTGTATGCTCTGCACAAGTATTGGAAAATATTGTTATTTTAATTTTGCATAATTTTTGAGTTAAGTGTGATAAAGTTTTTCAATATGTAAATAATAAAAAACATTAGTATTTCTGTTTTTTTTTATTTAAAAACACGTATTTATGGATCACCATATTACATTTCTCTATATGTAGTGTAGTATGTACACTTCAAATGGGGGTAATGTTTCTCTTTGTCATTTGCTTTCAAAACATCTTTGTTTACATGCTAGCCTGAATTGCCTTGACAGTTAGGTACATGATAATGATGGTATCTTTTTCTTTTTTAAAAAAATATTGTGGAATTCTAAAGATACTGGAATATTGTGACTTTAAAAGTGTTTCCCAAGTGCTTAATGTCAATAGTATGAATGACCTGGGACATGTTGTTCTGAAATGCTTTGTAATGCTTCAAGTCCTTTTCTAACTCATGTTTTTTAATCTGTTAGTTTCTTAGGATATATAGTGATTGTTCTGTAACATTTTATTTGATAGATTCATTTTCTGTCTCTCTCTCCTTACTTCCATTCCTCTAACTTCTTCAGTGTCTTTAACATTCATTTGAATACCTAGCTTGTGCCAGGAATTACTTTCCTGATACTATGACCAGTTCTTTTAGATATCATTCATAATTGAACCAGATCTCATATTTAAAAAATTTAATTGGGAGCCGTGTTGTGGTGTAGTGTGCCAAGCTTCTGTCTATAATGTTGGCATTTCGTACAGGTGCCAAGTTGGAGTACTGTTCCACTTTCAGTCGAGTTCCTTACTGATGCACCTGGGAAAATCAGCAGAAAATAACTCAAATGGTTTCTTTGTGCTGGCCACCCGCATGGAAAACCAGAGTGAAGCTCCCGTTTCTGTGGGGCCTAGCCCTACTTACGTGGTCATTTGGGGAGAAAGCCACAAGATGGAATGCCTTTGTCTTTTGTAACTGCCTTTCGAACAAATTTATCTTTAAAAAAAAATTGAACTCTAGGCAAAACTGTTATTTGTGTGTGTTGTTAGCTCTGAAAATCAAGGATTTGATTTTAGAAAGTCAAAATAGTTGACAAGTTTCTTCGTTCTAAATAGTGATTTCTCTTTCTATGTTGACCAGATTTTTCTAGATATGACATTTGGTTCAGGAGGACACTCAAGAGCCATATTACAGAAAGAGTCAGATATTACCCTATACACCTTAGACCGAGACCCAGCAGCTTACGCTATAGCTGAGCAGCTTTCAGGCTTTTATCCGTAAGTAACACTCTTGTATTGTCATTGGTGCTATGGTTTAAAGAGATTCTCAATTTGGAATCTGTTATACCTTGTATAATGTTATGTTTATTCCATGAAAAGCTTCCTCTTTTTTCCTCCTGGACAGAATTAATATGAATAATAATGTAGTGCAACTTAAATTAATATTGTCTCCGCATGCGTCCTTTCTTAATTCATAAGAAAAATGTAAAAATGACTTCTGATTGCAACATTGAACATATATTAAAATGCATTATGAATTCTATTTTAATATTCTGTAGTAAAAATAATGTTATAAGTTCTTAAAGCGCTTGCTTCGCCAAATTTAATACACTCATGAGAGTTCTGTAGAATTGATGAGACCATATATGTAAGTATACTGTATCTGTTTTCTCTAAACTGACATTTGCACATTATTTTATTGCTCTCACAGAATTACTTAGCTAACCATATAGTATTTCTAAGGAAATAAAATATTTTAATTAATGACTATTGAAAGTATCTACCTTTAACAAATTATTTTGAATTAAGAAATAAAGTCTATGGGAGGGGAGGGGGGAATCCCCAGCGCCTATAAAACTGTACTACATAATACAATGTAAGCAACAATAAAAAAAAAAAAGAAAGAAAGTCTATTTTATGTTTTTGAAGATTAAAGATTAACTTGCACTGCCTTAGATTTATGAGGCCCCTGAGCCCTATTATTTGATCACAGGTTATTTTCTTCTAAAGATAATATAGTGATGTGTTTTAAGGAAAAGGCAATACTTTTTTATTTTCATTGTTCTCTTTCTTCTCCAGCAACTTATACCCTCTTTTATTAGAATATTCATGTTTTTGAAAAATGATATATCTGATTATAATCTGTAAAGTCTAGCTAGACCTTCATTATATTTCACTGTCATGGAAACCTCTGTGTTCTTACTGACTAGTGTATCTTACTGCAAAGGTTCCTATTTCATTTCTTCCAGTGTGTCTTACTCCTTCAAAAACTCCCTTTCTCAAAGAGGGTTTAAAGTTTACCTATTTTAGCACATGTAACTTTTTAAAAATCAATCAGGAACCTCTGGTGCTGTATTTTCTTTTCATTTTTTCAGGTATAAAATCTTTCAGTTAGGTAGACAAAATGCTGTGCTAAAAGGCTGACATATTATAATAAGAATAAACCTGGAATATGATTCTTGACCCCTAGTTTAATCATCTCATTTGACTAAACTCTGCTACTTTGGTTAATATCTTTGGATTTATATTTATTGACTTGACAAATGATTCCTTTGTTAAGGATCACAAATTGTATTTGAAAAGCAACAAAATAAATCAAAATAATTCCAAGATAGAGTTAATAAAGGTAAAAGCTAGAATCAAGCAAACTGCAAACCAAAAGAAAAAGGAAGTAGAAATAATAAAAATGAATTCTGAGATGATTCTTTGAAATTAGCAATATTTGGGCCCGGTGGTGTGGCCTAGCGGCTAAAGTCCTCGCCTTGAATGCACCGGGATCCCATATGGATGCTGGTTCTAATCCCGGCAGCTCCACTTCCCATCCAGCGCCTTGCTTGTGCCCTGGGAAAGCAGTCGAGGACAGCCCAAAGCTTTGGGAACTTGCACCCATGTGGGAGACCCGGAAGAAGTCCCTGGATCCTGACTTCGGATCGGCATAGCATTGGCCGTTGCACTCACTTGGAGAGTGAATCATTGGACGGAAGATCTTCCTCTCTGGAAAAAAAAAAAGCCACTAAGTTAAAAAAAAAAAAAAAAGAAATTAGCAATATTCCTTTTGAACCTGATTATTAGGACAAAAATATATAAGTAGGAATGACAGAGCAATCATGTTCCTAGACACAAGATAAATTTATCATAATTCATCTACAACTCTGGTGCAAATTATGAAACATAGGTGAAATTAATGATATGCCATTAAAATGTAAATTGTTAAAATTGACTCATAAAATTGGGAAAGATTATTACCATAAAAACATTGGAAAGGTAATTAAAGTACATCGAAAATGCACCCTGACCAAGTTTGAAAATACTTTGATAACAAAATATGAGAGAACAATGCTGTTTATGCTATTCTTCATGTTAGTAAGCATGGAAGGTTTTTTCACTTCATTTTATGAATTCAGGATACTTTTGATCCCAGATTTGGTAGAGCTAATGTAGAGAGAGGGAATTCAGGGAAGGAAAAAGCAGTAGTTACAAAACATAAGGTCAGGTGCTAATTCCTTCACATAGCAGATTATGTACCTTTGTTGGTGCAGTTTCAGTTCCCAGTGCTGCAATTCCTATCCACCTCGCTCCTGGTGTGCCTGGGAAAGCAGTGAGAGATGGCCATAGTGCTTGGGCCCCTGTTACTCATGTGCCAGATCTGGGTGACATGCCTGCCCCATGCCCCTTACTTCTGCCTAGTCTGGTCAGTCTCTGGCTGTTGCGCTGATTTGTGGAATAAATTAGCAGATAGAAGAAGACTAGAGGACGTATCAGGTGGATGGTTGTCTTCTTACAGCTAAATACTATAAGTTACCATTAAACACACAACAGAGAGAACACTGCAATTACAGTGTGAACACTATTTGAGGAATTTCTTCCTGCTATTTTGTTTTTACCGTAAAATATAAATTCAGGATTTTTATTAACATTTATTTATTTTGAAAGATTTGCAGAGAGAGAGAGAAGAACTTCCATCTTGCCTCTTTGCTCTACAGATGGCCACAAAACCCAGTCCTTGGACTATGCCAAAGCTACAAATTTCTTCTAGGTCTCCACATGACTGACAGGAGCCTAGGGCCATTGTCTGCTGCTTCTCTAGGCCATTACAGGTAGTGGATCAGCAGTGGAGCAGCTGGAACCTGAACTAGTGGAGCAGCCAGGACACAAACTAGCACCCATATTAGTGCTGGTACCACAGCGCAGAGGATTAGCGTACTGTGCCACTGCATCAGCCTCACATTGGTTTTCATTCAGTTTCATTCATAATCACAGGCTTAACATATCATTAGGTAAATATATAGACACAGAAAATAATTAGGAAAAATCCCCTACTGTTCCTCAGGAGCATAGTCAACTCTATAAACGGTAACCAAGTTCCAGAATGTGAAGCTCACTCGTATAGATCACATCTTTTCCTTCTCTATGTATCTGTTATCATAAGTTATGGAAAACATATTTGTCCTTTGGGGACTAGTTTTTCTTTTGTTTTTGTTTTTTTTCAATGAGCGTAACTGAGTAATATCTATGTTGTATGTATATCTTATTTTTTTCTAGTTATCAGTTGATGTGCATTTGAGTTGGTTATTTTAGCTATTGTAAATTAAGCTGCTGCAAAGGTGTATGTACAGGTAACTTTAATATGCAGATTTCATTTGTGGAATTGCTAGGTCATAGGGGTAGATATCTGAGGAACCTGCAGTACAGAGAGGTCTTCCGTAATGATTACACACACTAGTTATACTCCTGCTTACAGTGGAATGGAATACTTTTTCCCTCAAATTATTGCCAGCATTTATTGTTTTCAGATTTCGGTGTGATAGCCATTCTAACTGGGGTGCTGTGAAAGCTCCTTGTGGCTTTCACTTGCATTTCCCAGATAGCTGGTGATCATGAACAGTCTGTCTTGTGTCTGTTGGCTGTTTTTATTTCAATCATTGAAAAATGCCTGTTGTGTCCTTTTCCCATTTCTTAATTGGGTTGTTTGTTTTGTCGTTTTTGAGTTCCTTGAACTCTTTGTAGATCCTTGAAACTATTTCTCTTTAAGTTTTATAATTTTCAAATATTTTCTCCCATCCTTTGATTTGCCTTTTTTTGAAGGTTTCCTTTGCAATGCAGAAGCTTCTTATTTGTAATCCCATTTGTTTATTTTTGCTTTGATTCCTGTTCTTCGGAGGTATTTTCCAAGAAGTGTTTGCCTATTCCTGTGTATTTAAGAATTTCCTCAATATTTTCCCCTAGTAATTTGAAGGTATCAGTTTGTAGATTTAGATCCTTGATCCGTTTAGGGTTGATTTTTGTTTAATGGCTAAGGTATGGGTCTTATCTACACTTCTGCACCATTTATTGAGTAGACTCTCCTTTCTCCAAGGATTTATTTCAATTCATTTATCAAAAATTTCAATTCATTTTTATTTATGGAAATTTGTGGATTCATATCTGAAGAATCTTATTTACTTTCCCAAATGAAGGCAGAAGTCATAACTACTATTGGCATGGAAAATAAGCAGTTCACTTGAAAGCTAGGTTTTAGCTCTTTCTGTAAACACTGAATGTTAGCTAACTCACTTGCGTTTTAGTGACTGAATCCTTTTCCCCTTACCTCTGAGGACAGTACAAGAGGAGGTGCACTTAAATTGCACCAGTTACCTTCCTGTTAGAGTTGTGGAAATTAATGTTAGAAAGCACTATTTAAAAAACATGGTTTATTTTTCATGAAATTGAGGAATAACATCTACTTTGAGCCCTAACTTTAAGGAGAGTACACTTAACGGTACACAGACATAAAAATCACACATGATAGTATTATTTGACATAATTTTAAGCAGAGGACCAAAATGTAATAAGTTGTCATTTGTAAGTTTTCAACAGTGTCTGTGAATACATGGCTAAATTTATAGTTAAGAGAAAAATTAAACTGACCCCAAAATCCATAATCCCATATAATTAGCATTAAAAGCTGTGTGCTTCCTTCAGCCATTTGAGTTGACACGATTGTGTTACATTGTGCGCACTATTACCTGCTTGAGCTCTCAGGATATTTTTACGTTTTGTTCTGTCAAATGTTAGGAAAACAGCAAAGTTTAAAAAATCAGATATTTAATATGTAATTTATATGTAATCAGCATGGTTATTCTGCTTTCCAATTCAGAAGCCCAGTATTTCTCTGCATTTGTTATAAAATATCATGTTTCTCATCACTCTTTTTTTTTTGGAATGAAGTTTTACAATGCAGAAAAGTACTGGATAGGAAAGGAAAATAATATATACTACCACTTCCATGTTCATGGCTA